AAGTAGAGATGGTAATTATGGAGACTAATGAAATGAATGGGGTTTGTTGCAAACTGAGTTTTCAGGGCAAGAAAAAATGAAATTACACTTTCAAAACTGACTCAGGTGGCTAAGAATGCATCAGCTTTTCTCCTTGTGTATAAAAATCTCTTTCCAGAGATTCCAGTCAGCCTTTTACCACTCTGCTGTATCTAGTTACATAAGAACCTATCTTCTCTCTTTTTTAATGTCCAGAGAAAATTAAATAAATTATTGATATTTATAGATTTTGAAAATGAAACCTAAGAGTTGTTTATTCTCTATATTGAAATCATTCCTCTTGTCAAAATCCAGCACTTGCTCTATTACTGCCAAGCCTAAACCCACATTTTACACTAATTACTGCTCCACAGAAGTCCTATATGGAAATTCTATTTAGTGTGTAGTTTTTGTTCTTTGAACATGTGTTTCAAGGAAGATAACTGAAATATCTGATCTTCTCTGCTATGACCCAGTTGTGCTTCACCTAGTAACTGTATTAAAAATATGGATTAAGTAAAAAAAATTAAATCATCTTAATTTCATTTTACCTAAATCATTAAGCATATTTTTCCAAGAATATTTTTCAGTGATATTTTAAGTACAAGGCAAGTAGTCAGATAATATAACATGAATTACCAAACTTGTACAGTGAATAGAACGTCCTAGGAAAGATTAGAACTTTGGAGAAATGTAAAGGAGATTTCTTTACTGCTGGCTTCAACATTTATTAAATAGGGGCTCTCTAATTAACCTCATGGAGTTTCTTTGATAAAAGAGGTTAGGTAATACTATCTACTTTGCAGGTCTGTTGTGAGAAATAGAGAAAAACACAATATAATCCCAGCACTTGGGAGGCTAAGCCAGGAGTATTACCATGAATTCAAGCCCAGCCTGGGCTACCTAAGCAAGTTCAAGGCCAGTCTGGATTATATGAGTCTCAAAACAAACAAATAAACAAACTTAGGGAAGGAAGTCCATAAATTGTAGCACATCAAAATTCATATGAATACTAAAAATTTGAGATAAAAATTTTAAAGGGTGTCAATCTGTGGAACAAATGTATGAAAGTTCAAATACAGATGTCAGCTAATTAACACTACTTGTTTGTGTCCTACTATGGACAAGGCAATGTGTGAGGTGTACAAGATAAATCAGAGACATAAACTGAGAAGTTATATAATCATATAAAGCTTATAGACTCAAGGGTATAAAAAGGTAAATGGACAATGGTACGAGTGCAAAACAGGAAATGAATGATATTTGCAATAATGTAGGTGAAGTTTTGCCTCTGGGTAGGAAATGAAGAGAGCAGAGACCAGCTAGCTCTAGAAGACACATAAAGAAAGGGCCAACGATGTGCAAAATAGTAAACAGAATAAGGAGAATAAAAGATTGATTTAAATATTAAAATGGAGCCATTCTGGGAGCTGAAAATCTCAGACATAGTCACAGAGAGGGCATCTCAGATGGGATGAGGCCAAGACCACTGAACGGATGACTGGATCATCTCCCAGGAAATGGGATCCAGGTGAGCAAAGTGACTGTACTTTCATCCAGAGCATTATTCTGAGGGCAAAAAAGTAGCTGGCCCTGAGTAAATAGGGGTGGAGAGCCTATTATTTCTCTGAAAGGAGTAAGCCAAGGCCTGGATTTTGATTCTGAAGTATACATAAACATATATGCACACATACATCTGGTATGTATATATGCACATATATATATATGCACACACATTATGTATATATGCACATATACATAAACATATATGCACACATGAACTGTATGAATGAATGATAATAATAGAATAATAAAATAATGTAAGTATTTAACATTTCTAAGGTTTTCTTTGTTTTCGTTTTGTTGTGGGGGAGCTATTTTTGGTATTAGAGTTATCCCTAAGGCCTTCAACTTGAGCAGTTTTAAAAATTTTTTACTGTGAGACACGGTCTTGCTAAGTTATGAAGCTGATCAGGTTGCCTGTTAGGATTATAGGCATATACCACCACACTAGGCTCTGTTCAGTGGTCTTGGCCTCATCCCATCTGAGATGCCCTCTCTGTGACTATGTCTGAGTTTTTCAGTTCCCAGAATAGCTCCATTTTAATATTTAAATTCAATCTTTTATTCTCTTTATTCTATTTACTGTTCTGCACATCATTGACTCTTCCTTTATGTGTCTTCTAGAGCTAGCTGGCCTCTTCTCTTCTCATTTCCTACTCCGAGGCAAACTTGAAACCCTCCTGCTTTGACCCTCCAGAATAGTAGGATTACAGTCATACACCACCACACTGGGCTCTAAATATGATCTGACTGGTGTTCTGTGCAGTTTTTCAATATGAACTAAACTTCACATTACCTAAGAAATCAATCCTATTATACTCTTGAACAATGTTCCCCAAATTAACACAGGTAAGAAGCAAGAAATCGGAATTGTCACTGGGGCAGTCTGAGCCCAGGTGCATCTTTCTAAGCTCACATATGTTGTCCCCATGATACCTTCTTCTCCTGGATGCTTAACTATTCCAGGCTTTGCTAACCTCATATTAATGTACCACTCAATCTCTATAGTACTTTGGTTAGATATTATTTAAACAGATTATATGGATTGTTTTTCCTTCCCTTTTTCCCCACAGAGCATATTTTTAAATGAAAATTTCACATAAAATTCCAAATTTATGATTTCTCTTGATTAAAAGAAGTTGAGCCACAATGTTCACAATTGGTCAACAACTGGCAGACACTATAACCTGCACACAGGCCTCAGCCTCTCCCTGTCCCACAATCATCCCTTCCCTTACTGCCCACATCAGACCACATTACTGCTTTTATGACTAGTGGATATATTTCCTGTAGGTTATCCTTAGTATAAATACGTAAGTGTGATAAAAAGGTAAAATCCTCAGAGCTTAGAAGTTTAACCACCTTCTGGGTTCATATCATTGGTCTAGACACACAAGCTCCAGTTTTATTAAGCAAATGCTTGGCTCTGTTTGTGTTAGCTTTCCACTACTGTGAAAAAACACCTGGGAAAACAACTTAAAGGAGGAAAAATTTATTTTGGCTCTGGGCTTTCCAGGTTTCAGTCCATGGTCACCTGGCTTTCTGGCCTTCAGGCCTTCAGTGAGATAGAAATGCCATGGAACAAGGGTGGGGTAGAAAGAGCTCACTATCTCAAAGCAAGCAGCAACACAGCAAGAAAGCTGAGGGGGAGGTAACCCCACAGCTCACTCCTTTCGGCCAGGCCCCTCCTAGCACCTCACCCAGCAAGACGCTGGCGCATGTGTGATCCGACCACTTACCAAAGCCTCATCAGCCGGCCTGATTTGGAAAACATCTAGATCCAAACCACAACACAGTTTAAGGCCTCACTCTTCTCAATCTAAAATGGGGCTACTAATAGTACTTAGAGTGTTGTTATGAAATAAGGTAATTATGAAAAGAATTTAGCTTGAGGTCTAATGATAACTTGTTATTGCTTTGTGCATCCTGAACACAGTGGGAATTTAGTACAAACATGTCAAATCCACCATCAGATGCAATCAGGATTAGAGCATGTAGATTAAAAGTAGGATAAAATGTGTACTATTTTGGAAAACGAAGAGGAATAGGTTGAAGAAAACTTCTCTTGGCCTCAGGACAGCATGCTTGTTAGGCAGAAGCACTGGCCAGTAACAATCCTATAAAGAGAGTTCAGTCTGATTGCTCAGGACAAACTTGATGAGCATTCACCAACTAGGTTTCTTAAGTGGATTTCCCTATATACTGGATCTGATACTTGGATCACAAGGAAGTACCCAGTCACATGTTTTAGTAATTCTACCATTTTCTCAGACCTATGGAAATGGATCCATGATTTCTCTTTCATTAGGTACCCCTTTCGAGAACTTTTACAAGACTCCATTATTTCTACTCTGCAGGGCATCCTTGGCCCCTTGTCACCTGTAGAATATGATCTCACAGCTCTACCTACTATGGGCAGTTTCCATCTGGTACCTGGGTTATTTATCTACCCCTAAACCTGACTACCACAGCACTTTGTCTTTTTATGTCTACTTGTGCTTGCACAGCTGTGCCAACCAAACATCCTACTTACCCCTACTCGCTGTTATGTCCACATCACATTCTACCAGATCCTAAAGAACTACCACCTTGAAGCTATGCACTAACTGTCTGTGTGTTTTACATCAGGGGTTAGCAAACCTTTTCTCTACAAGGCCAGAGAGTAAACAGCTCCAGGTTTGCAGACCATTTGGTCTGTGTCCCAACGCCTCAACTCTGCCCTTATGGCACAAAAGGAGTCATGACAGCAGCTGTAGAAATGGGAAGGCCTGATTTCTGATAAACTGTATTTACAGACACTGGAATTGAAATTTCATATAATATTCATGGGTCATGTCATATTATCTGTTTTTTGAAGTTTTCTAGCCATTTAATAATGTAAAAACTCTCTTGGCTCAAAAATAAGCAACAAGCCACTGTAGACTTTTGGTCTGCTTTCTATGCAGACCGTGTGTGAGTAGTCAACTTTCCTTTTACGTTTCTTTAAATTAGGGTATAACTTTCATTAGTAAAATTCAGTGCACCATTCTTAAATGCACACTGGATTCTGGTGTAGCAACACATAGCTCTAGATGTAAAATATGTCCAGTAACATAAGATGCTTCTTCATAGTCTCTTCCAAAAAAGTACCCTGACCAAAACCCCTTTTCCCTATAACAGTAATCTGTACACTTTCTTTCAATAGGTCTGTACTATGGAAGTAGGGAAATGACTGCAGTATACAAACTTTTACAGGTAAAAAATCAGAAGGCAAAGATGTATTCTTAAATGAAACTTCAAGTATCATTAGCCATTGGAACCACACAGAAGAGTGTCTTATATTTTCAAAAAAGTGATAGAGATAAGAAATCTCAAAGAGCAGTTCTGCTCACTCACACTCATTTTCTTGGCTGTGCCGCGTTGCCTCTAGGCATCCTTACCTGGGCCAAGGTGAGGGTGGCTTGTTTGCAGGTGCCACACTGTACTCGGAGCTTTCCAGGCTGCACCCTTTGACAGGGCATTTTGCAATAAACATAGAAGCTGTTGTATGTTGTGCTACCTGTGGGGAAAAGAGCAGAGAGAAAGCAGCTAATCAATGCTGGATCCAAACTGAGACAGGAAACTCTCTTTAAAGGCTCGTTAGATGAGAATTTTAAAAGCAAATCCTCAGAAACATTTTGAAACATTAGCGGAATAAATATTCCAAAGAGGATACAACAATTTAATTTGGTAAATTAAATTAAAAGAGTGAAGATCTTTTCATTTTCTTGCCAATAAACCCCTGACTTACTCAGCAAAATAAGCAACCTGCCATTAAGAGAGCTGGCCAAGTACATTTGCAGCACACTGAATTACATGCACTGTCTGCTGGGGAAGTTTTCAAAATGGAAAGAAAATTTTAAAACTACTGGAAATTTAGAGACCACTGCTCTTAAATTCTTTTTCATGCTTCTGTACACAGTTTTGAAGACTCCAGAGTTTCCCTCTTAAAATCTTAAGTATAGATACAAACCAACCCATTTCTTATGATATGAATGATAAAGTCACAATTTTCTGAGTTTCCAGGGAGAGGCCTTGCCAAGATATAGTCATACATAGAACAAAACAGGACCCCTGAACCTGGAGGAGTATAACAGATCCTTAAAGGGATGCTTTGTATTTCAGCAATGTTCTCTCTACATAGACAAATGGTATTCAAGTAATATATGTTCAAGATTAAAAGATGAACAAAAAACAATTTAATGGTTAAAATTTCTGATTATTTCTCTCAGATACCAAAACTCAGGTATAGTGTTATTCTTTAAATTAGGGTGGCTTGTTCCCTCTTTTCATGTCTGAGAAGAACTACCTTTCTTCAGAAGCACGTAATAGTAAAATAACTTAAAATTTCAAAGTTTCTAAATTTCTAACAGTCTTTTTTCCTTTAATCCTTATCTTACCATTGCTTGATAGAAAGTAATATAAAATGTCATGGCACAAAATTTGCTTAAAATTTTACTGGTATCATGAGAAGCATCTAGAAATAATAAGTATTTCAATGTATGAAAACTTTTAGCCCCCAAAATGTTTACTTATAGTCTCCTAAAAACAATTTGAACAAATATAATAGGAAACAGCCAAAGATTCTGAAGTCCATTTCATTTATTTCACTAATTTAATGGCGGAGCCTTTGTAGATAGTTTGGACTGTCATTTATTTAGCCATCGCCATTAATATTATAAGTAAAAAAACTTGATAAAATATAACAAACATAAAGTTTTGTAGTTTTCTGAATTATTTGCTATATAACATATCAATATTACTCTCCAGAGATAAACTATTTAGCTTCTACTGTGAAAGGGGAGGGAAAATATAAATATATGTTTGTACGGTTGTTAAATTACCTTTCTGGATGCGTCTTTTTAGCTTTAGTGCTTGTGGGCAAGATACTCAAGTCCATAAACTTTGGATTATGATTAGCAAATATAATGATTATTTATAAAATATATTTTAAGGTTTATATATATCATAAGATACAAACCATGTATTAATATTATAGAAATATTTGTGATATAATAAGTGACTGAGTATCAAAAGATAACAAGAATTGTGAGAGGTTTTACCTATAATAAAAAATTTGTAAAGGCAGTAGCCTCACTGTTAAAATCTTTAACAGGAGTATGAACAAATTTAATTTCAAAATTTTTATAGCTTCCTGTAAAGGTTAAACAATCAGAAAGGAAAAAAAGGAACAGGAGAAGCAAATCTGCAAAGGCTCTCAGACACTAGCATTGTGGACAGACCAGATTAGCAACTGTTTACAATATTAGAAGATGCATGGCAGAAATTGCAGGGAACTAAATGGCTCTTCTCTCTCCCTTAAGGCAATAGTGGTGCTTGTGATATTGTTTCAGCTAATGATATATTAAAGCTGAATGTGAAGGCAGGGCCACCCTTCCCCCTCTGCATCCTTCAACCTTCGCTGAAGTCCTTGGGAAGTTATTCAGGAAATGCTGCATGCCAGTGTCTATGCCCTAGAAGCACATAAGATGACGTGCAATCCATTACACATTGCTTCCCAGAACCAGCCACAAGTTGGGGATTAATAGCCAAGCTGAGGAAGATCAAGGTCAGGCCAGACCTGGCTGTAGCACATTTCAGGCTGTTAGCTCCACTCAGCCAAGTGGCTCGGGCTTCAAGTCAATCACAAGGGCTTCTTTTCAGAGAGGCTTCGCTGCCTATCTGGCTGCATAACACAATTTAAAGTCGGTAGCTTCTCTGTACTGTACTGTGGACGGGAGAACACTGGACAGGAATGAAAACAAATACCTCCCTGACAGTATTCTGGGCAATGTTCCCACTGGCCTGGCTGAAAGACCTTCAGTTGGAACTCTTTCATATGGAGTCATAACTCCCGAGGAATGGCAAGGCTATTCTGTGAGCAGCCTCGGAAGCCTTTCTCTAGGTATACAGCTGTCTGTCGTCAACAACACAAGTCCTTGCCTTTCACTTTTCTGTGGATCTTAAAATCCTTTTTCTCTAATACAGTCTTCATATGGCAGCATCTTCCTTGGGCAGAGTAATCGAAGCACCCTCTGTTTGTATTTATAAGATTCCCTTTGCTTTACCTCATACTTTCACACCTAGAGATATATTTCAAAAGTGTTCCCATTAGATGCTGCTATTCAGCAGTTGTGAACACTGTGGTACATTTGGGTGCACTCCGAGTGTGTGCAGATGCATAGACATATCCACGTATACTGCATATATACAGACTTTTTGGCTGAGACATTTGTGACTGAGTGGCATCTTGCTTCTTTACCCCGCCATACTTCAACACCCTAACACAACAGATTGTGTCTTTATATAATACCAGAGGGGTTTTTAAGTGATTTGGTTTGTTCAGTAGTTCTATTTATAGATTAATCAAAGATGTTTTAAGTATACCTTATAGAATACTACACAGGCTTGCAAGCTGCTCAGCCAAAATCTTAGACTGTCTTTGGTCAAACACTTTCGGGAGTGCCCAGTGAAACTGAGATAAATAAAATCCTGAGTACAGCATTCCATAGGGCTCTGTGTTCTTTAGGAAAGGCAGGATAAACACATCACAGACCAGACATGACCACAAAAGCATTTCCTTCATGGTGCATCTTGAGAAAATGCATTTTTCAGAAAAAAGGGGAAGACAAAAATTAGAAGAATTTAATCTACTGTGCCAACAAGTTTATATAATTATTTTGTGAAGAATTAGTCCACTAAAGTGACAATTTTATATCGGTTTCATTCAGAAGTAGTTTTTTTCTTACAGGACAGTAAAAAGCACAGTGAGATCAACACCCTTGGAAAGGATTGGCCAGTGTACCCATCCAAAGGGTCCCCTGGTTTCTGCTATAACTTGGCATTGTATCTTCTACTTTAGTTTTCTCTCTCACGTTGCCTCATTAACATAACCCTCAGTCAAGTCTCCACATTTATTTTTTGGTCAAAAGAAAAACTGCAGAAAGCACTTACAATATTCAGAACATATGAAGCCAAACCTATATTTAAAAAGTATAGGTTTTCCAAGTACATTCAACTATTTGATCTTTAATAATGGGGCAAAGGAAAAATTGCATGAGCCAGTCTATGAGCTTTGTACCTGACTGGGAAACAAGTGAAGATCAAAAACAAAGAAATACAGGATTACATTAAAATGCAGGGCTGGGGATTTAGCTCAGCGGCACAGCGCCTGTCTGGTAAGCGCCAGGTTGTGAGTTCAATTCCTGGTACCAGAAAAAACAAACAAACAAAAACATGTGGAGGCCAGGGGGTCTTGTCTCCCTTGGACAAAGAACTCCAAGTGACTGGCTTACCCTGTCTTTATTCATTCTGACTTTGAAACAAGCAATTAGAGAATCACAAGATTCACCCACCTCCCACCATCCACAGTACACGTCCGAGTAAACAACAGGATCTCATGAGTATTAACTTTTCCCGAGAACTTGCAATGTGTCTGCAGGCTCACATGCTGCCCCTCTTCCTGGGGTTCACAGATGGGGCCAGTGAGGTGTCAGTCTTCATATCTGGTCTCCCACAAAAGATAGCTTCATTAATAGATGGTGCTGTGGAAAATGCCTGTCCACATGCGGAAGACTGAATCTAGATCCATATATCTCACCATGTATAAAACTAAAATAAAAAATGATTAAAGATCTAAACACTAAAACAAAAGCATTTAATCTGGTGGAAGATATGGAAAAAATTGCAAGGCATTCCTCAGACAAAAGACTAAGATCTAAAATAATAAAGAATTCAATAACTCCCCCCATAAAATGCCCAATCAAAAAAGTATATAAATAAAATGAATAGATATTTCTAAGAATAAGGAGTACAAATGGCCAATAAATATATGAAGAAATGTTCAACATTGCTGGACATTAGCGAAATACAAATTAAAACAATACCGATATTCCATCCTACCCCAGAAAGAATGACCACCAACAATAAATCAAGTAACAAATGCTGACAGGGCTGTGGGGGAAAAGAAACCCTTTTACATTGTTTATGGGAATGTAAACTACTACAACTACTATGGAAATCATGATGGAGAGTGCTCAAAACAAAACAAAACAGAAAACCTAAAACTAGAAATTCCATTTGACTCAGCTATTTCCTTTTAGATAGCTTCCTGAAACAACTGAAGACATCATATTGCAATAATACATGCACATTTATGTTTGTAGTAGCACAATTTATAATAGCTAAATCTTGGAAGTAGGTTATATGCCCAGAAATAAATGAATGGATAAAGAAAATATGGTATTTACACACAATGGAGTACCACTCTGCCATAAAGAAGGAAAAACTTGAGTAACTCATAGGAGAAATGAGGAGATGATAATGTTAAGTGAAACAAATAAGATATACAAGCTTAACTATTGTATGGTTTTTCTTATACAAGAAACCCCAACTATAACTAAGGAGCAAAATAAAAGTCAGATGATGGGAAGTAGGTAAACAGATCATTCTCAGATGAGAAGGGGATCTGGAAATGTGGAAAGGGAGTAGAAGAAAAGAATCTTAAACACAGATTTAAGA